CGGCCGCTTCAGAGCACCGAGTCTAACTTTTAAATTAAATATATTTTACGTCTAGATATTGCCAGCGAGCAAGTGAGTCAAGTAGAGTAGCAGAGAGCGAGAAGTAGAAGGAATTGGATTAGAAAGTTCGGTGCATACCGACGGCATTGCCGGAGTGAATTGTCAGCGTCCAGGTGCCGTTAGCCAGTTCGCCCCAGTAGTGCACTGACATGAAGGGCCAAGCATGAAATCCGGCAACGTCCAGATCGAAGGGACGTTTGCTCAGCAGCTTGCTCACTGTGCCCATCGGGGAGGTGAGCCAAAGTTCCACCTCGCCACGACGATCACTCGTCAGGGTGACCTAGTAGTAAAAGTGGAAGAGGGAGAGGGTAATTTAGAGTAAAAATAGCAGAGCACTTTAAAATAACCTTAGTGGGCGGCACACTAGTGACTCCTCTCTCTCTAGTGCTCGTGGCGATGTGCAAATATAATTGGTTTATAATAATTAAAGATACAGCACTCCCTTGAGCGTGATCACCGATTCAGTTGGGATGGAACCGAGGTGATCGCCATGGCTAACACGAGGCAAGCGAGAGAATTCCTCGAAGCTTGGCACTCGAGTCCGGCTAGTATAAACAGGCATGCAGAGCTTGATTCACACTATGCCGGTTTTCACGCGTGGTCCACTAACCTGCGCCCAGCCTGAAACAACAGCAGGCTGTCCGTGCTCGGTCAAGTAGAATTTCACCGACTCTGAAGCCCTAGCCCCTCCCCCGAACACATGACCCATAATCCAAACGTTAACACCCCCTCCCCTAACCAGCACAACTTATCGCCGCAGGACTCACATCACCGTAACCCTCCCGCCCAATCCCACCTCGTTTGTTGTAACCTCTGCCCCCAAAACCTATAGTATGATATTCCCAGCCCTCCCTTTTCATTTAGTCTGACGACGAACAAATGATACCTTTTCGAAAATTCACCAGTACAAGTTAGTTTTCCGAAGAGCTTCCTTCCTTTTATCATATCATCTCGGAATGCAACTTACTTCACTTATCGAATTTAAGATACGCCAATAAGTAGTATTGCTAGCAAAGGAAAGGAGCCTGAAATGGCCATTTCTGGCTCATTAGCCGTTGTCAGCCAGTGATGCCCACCTGAGGCTTGAACGCGCCACCTTTTGGTCAGAGGTCTAATGTTCTAGCCATGAATGAGGCACAATTTTTGGCCGGGTATAACTGACGCATGACTGCTAATGAGCCACGAATGGCCATTTTTATCGGCAATGTTCTCCTGCTTAGACTACTATCCGCTGTGCGGCTGTTTGCATGGCTCCAGAATGAATCCCAAGGCAGAGAAGGACTCGTGAGTTCCGTTAGCGATCAATGAATAGTAATCAACGATACACTAATAATTGGAAAAGGTGGAAAAAGCGGATATGCGACCACCAACCGTCATAAGCTTGTGCCAATGCGAGAGTCACACATTCAACATCAACCGTTTCTTCTTTTACTAGGAAATTCGTGCGTTCAATTTGGATGATAAACTTAAGCCTGCTGTTGAAAGTATGTTACAACTTACCCCTTTTACAGTCAACTGCCGGCTCTTTGTAAGCATACACGCAAGCTGAGTGTCGTTATTTTCTAACGAATTTGAAAATTCTGGAAGTTGACGGCAAAATAGTCAAGAGAATGAAAGTGGAAATGGAGGCATGGCAATTAAGGATAGATGACGAAGCCTTAGAGGATGTAGATGAATAAGGGGAGAAGAAAAGAGGAGGAAGAGGAAATATAGGATGGGGAACATCAAAAATTCTTGAATATCACCTTCAGTAGTGAAGAAAACAAATGCCACGAGAAACTTTGCAACTCTGTCACATTTTTCACTTCTGGCTAGGGTAAAATGCTAGAACGAGAGATCGCACAGCTGATAACAATGGTCGACAAAACATACGCTTGGGTGTGTCCGGTTACTCGGTCACCACTACGCTCGCTAAGGCCCCCTCCCTCTCCTCCGCTAGATTTTGCTCTGGTGGAAACTTTCCTATTCGGCGACTCTTTTCACAGAAAAATAACCATGAATTGACGAAAACTTCGTGAATTGAATAAACCAGTAAGGGGACTATTTATTTTCGGTTGTGCTCTAAACGACAAAACCGTGACTGAAACCATAAATAAAGGCAAGAGAGCTAACGCTTACGTTTAGACGAAGGCGGTTGCCTTGTGAGTCAACTGCAAATATCACGTTGTTAACCTAGCCTGATTTTTTTCACCCATTTTCTAAGAATTTCTAAATCCAAACACATTTTGATCGAGACCCTGCACAAAAGTACCCCTTTTGCACTCAGGTTTTACGTAATTACGTCTTCATTTTTAAATCGTTCAGTGTTGAAATATTTTTCAATTCCCGCAAAATTGTGAACCGTATTTGCCTTCTTCTTAAAGTTTAAGGTTTCGGAACTACAATTTGTACACCTTCCGTTTAGAAATATGCATGCCCTCCTGTATGCTATTAAAATTACACCATGAGAGATCCTCAAAAAATTGCAATTGCCAAAAATTATACCATATGCAATAACAATTATCATTTAAGGAACAGGTACAATATTCTTCTAATGGGCCATTTACTGTCCTAAAAATGTCGTCGTCGCAAGAAATTTTAACCAAAATCCACCCCGGTTGAGCATAATCTTTGACAAACACAAAATTTGTATAGGTAAAGGGTACATGAGAGGCTGCATTTGTGTCTGATTTATAAAAACAGGTTTGTATTTATAATGACACTGAAAATCCATGGAAAAGCATATTAAAAGTTCAGCTTTTAGTCTTTGTGGCTTTTTCCGACGATGTGCCTTAAAACACGCATCTTGGTGTGAATCAAATATCTTGTGAGTGTACTATCTGTCAGGCCATATTACAATCTCACCTAGGCAATCGTTCCTAACGGAGAACCTACTTCAGAATTTCAGTTAAATTTCTTCGAATATGTTCCATAACCTAAGTAGATTAGTCTTCGAGGTATAGCCGGCACGCTGTAGTGTGCGGAGTGACTTGCGAAAAAACTACATGCTCACCAGCAAAAGCAACCCAACGCAAGGAGTCTATTTAATTTGCGAACCTATCATGTGAGTGCACTGTTTTTTTGTGTGTCCTGACGCCTGCTTACGCCAGTCGGGACATTCAAAAACCCGAAAGATGTGCAATCCCCTAAAATATGTTTTCGCGGAGGACAGATTAGTTCAATAGAACTGTAATATTAATTAACACGGGGCACAGTTTCAGGATGTGTCGGTCATGTGAGGATGCCGGTTTCTGAAAAAGCTTCTTCCAGACTACATCGTGTAAAAATGACTATGTCAGTATTGTGTAGTTTTTACTATTTATTTTCGATACCTTCGTAAATGGTCACATAGTTTGTAGAAAAGCAAATAAAATTCCCCTTCGTGCAATCCTTTAATGGAAAACTATGTCTTCTTCACATTTTTTCCTTTAAAAAACATATTTCGGTCCGAAAAGCTTTCTCATTATGAAATTTTAAGGCCAAGACATGCCCATTCGTAGAGCCTCGTATCTTTCCATTAACTTATGCTGCTTATTAAGCACACTGTGTGGTCCATACCTCACTGTGAAATTTTACAAGCCCCATATTTACTTTTCTTAATCGCGCATCCAAAAGTGAGTTTTTGCATACGTGGAAGAAAAAGGATAGAGCTTATACGTTGGAAACCTGGAATGCAGATGACAAAGTAGGTTGGATTCAAACTTGTTCAGAAATTTCGAAAAAAAGTTAACAGACAGATACCTCTTTTTCCTATATAAGCTTTTAAAAGACTTAATTTTTCTATATACTAAGTCCACGGTTTCTATAAAATACATGTAAATTCCCAGGAAAATTGGTAATCAATGGAAAAGCGTTAATTACGTAGTCATTTTGTACAGTGTATAGTTTTTTTAATGCAGCCCAAAACAAGCTTTTTCGAAAGCTGACGTCCTGAAGTGCCTGAAATCTATGAAGATTAGGCTGCACGATAAGTAATATAACAAAACCACATCAGGAGTCTTTTCTGAACGAAAAGACATTCAAAATTTTCGGCTAATATTTCATGACGCATTTGTCTGCAAAAAACATCATATGCAATCTCTTAACGCAATTAACACGGTCCTTCCTAAATGGAAGCTGAGGCCGACACTTGTGCCTGCATGTCTGTGCGTGGGAGTTGGTGAAGCAAAAGGGGGCAAAAAGGGGTCAAAATGAAATTGAAAAATTGCTAGAACGGCAGGAATGCAACACGCTATGTGCCGATGGCAGATTCCTTGACTCTTCTGCGGCCGCGACATGGGCAAACGGTGAGCCGCGGCTGAGATGTCATCGTCGACAGCCACATACTGGTGTGTGCGCGCGCGTCTTATCTGCTGTGCAGCGAGCGAG